ATTGTCCCTTTTGAGATTATACTGCTAGACAAATAATTTCTTGAAGACAAGTCAGTAAACAAGCTGCACAAAAAATGGTTAATACAGGGATCAAAAGCACCTGGGTATTGATTGATGTGGATGTAGAAGGCTTGATCCGTACGCCGCAGTAGTCAGCACGAACAAAGAAGACGACACCATGAAGTGGATAAAATTTCTCCCTTCTCCTAGACTACTCCTGAGCCCTCTCACATTTGGATCCAATGAAGAGTGGAAGAAGATCCATGGAGATGTAGCGGATGTGCGACGTTTGAATCATGCGCAGAGCTATTTATCAAAGAATCTTTGAATTAAAGAAGGAGATTACAGGAAAGAAGAACATGTACTTTCCTGGTCTCTCCAAAGTCTAGGAAACGGCCAGAGCGTTTTTTTTTTGAAACGCGGCCAGAGCGTTGAGAAAGGAAGGAGAGCTGATTGGGGAATGATTTGCGCCGTAGCTATTCATTAATGACTAGCCACGAATCGGAGCGGGGACGCCGTGTCCGGGATTTGGCGAAGCAGAGGAGTCGCGGGTCTGGGGTCCAGTGCAAACAGATTGATTATCGATCAATTCCTTCGTCAGGTTTGCCTAATGGGCTTTTCCTTGCACGGTTCCTTGGACATTGTTTTTTTTTCGTGTATTTTCTTTGGGCTCCATGAAGGTATACTATCTGGGCCGGGGCCCCTGCCTCCTCGGAGCCCAGGGCGGGCGCCCCGTTTGCCCGGCCTATGGGCCGGGCCTATCTGCATTAGAGTAAATAATTTTCTATGCTGAGTTTCCAAATCATCTCCATAATTGAAAACCTGGATGGCTTCAATTTTAAAAGGAATAGCCTACGACTATGAGATGCTAAGCATGCTTTGCATCTGACCGAACTTCTCTGAACCATATACTCATACTATAGCCAAAAAACCATTTGCACACGTACGTGATAAATTATGACATTTGTTGGCGAGGAAACGACTTGAAAAGCTGCTGCTACAGACTGGGTTAAGTGAACAGAACAACAATACCAAATCGAAACAAAAATAAATTGTACTATCATTAAAAAGAATCCATTGTAAGAGCTGCTACAGACCTTGAAGTACGGTAGCAGTATTCAAACACCAACATCGAGCACCTTCAACGAGAGATCCGGATTAAAACACCAACATCGAGCACACATATATTTGATAGCTCCACTCCAAAAGTATGAAATTCCTCAAGTTGAATACCTATAAACAAAAGGTGAAATAAGGATCTCTTTTGGACATATCAACAAAAAGAGGAAAGGTTATGTTAGAGACCAATCGAAATCATCGAAAGTTCAGCACATCAGCCTTTCAGCAAATGTACATGCAAAGCAATTCTTTCTCGGAGTGAACTCCGAACTCTTCTGTCACACCGAGACGGTCTATACAGGTGCAGCCGCCGCCGGCGACGCCCTACCACAGAAGATCGTCTTCGAGTCTCGAGTTGCCGCACCCAACCCCAAGGACCTGCAGCACCACAACACCCAACATACGTGACGGCAAGGTGTCGTGCTTCGACGGCAGCGAGTCCCCGGCCGCGGCAGGGTGCCCCTTTGGTAGCAACGCAGCGCCGTCGGCAGTGGGCATCCCGATGCCATGAAAAAGCAAAGAAGAAATGTAAAGTGAAACTGATGGAAAAATCACAAGAACAATAAGTAAGACATACCATGAAAAAGTTGAGGGCATACTTCTTGTCCATTCAATGTAGTTTTCTTCCCATTCACGCCAACCCATCTCTCTCTCAAGATTGGCTGATCAATAATGCACATAACCTAAATAAAAGAAAAATAGTCAATGGCAAGTGTTATAGAACAAATATCTAACATACATGACGCAATTAGACAACATGTCCAGAAGAGACTTCAGTATATATATAAATGATATGCTGAAATTAAACAAAAAATATTTTACAGGTTGCATCAAATATGTCGCAGCAGTAGTTAGTTGTTGACAGTATCATTAAAATGAAGCTAAATCACTCGGTACATGTAACAATATATGATAGGCTGCTATCCAGTACAGTTTCCTTCAGGTAGTAGTGAAGAAAAATGGACAAAAAGAAGGAGAGCTGATATGAGAAAGAGAAAATTAGCATACCGGCATGAGCTATAATTCGAGTGCTAGTTCAACATACATAGACTCAATAGAGCAAATCGTTGTGCATGTTTCACGCATCTAAAAAAATTCTAGTTCAATTGAGAGAGTCACCAGAGTACTTTATATGGTCTTTCTGCACTTTTTCTTGTCGAAGTAATATAACTTGGTGGAGGAACTCAAGATTAGCCGATCCAGTTTACTTCAATATGCAGGGCACTCACACAAATAACTTTATGAAAGAAACTGTAGCTGTCCTTATGGGATGCACATCTATACCTGTACCGCTGGTCCGCTGCACGAGCTCACCCTTGGCGGCGACCTGTATGACACGAAGCACATGTTCACGACGGAGTAGATGTATTGGTCACCAAGTGCACGGGAGCACATGCACGAAATGTCTTCGAGTCGCGAGTTGCCACACCCAACCCCAAGGACCTACAGCACGACAACACGCAACATAAGTGGCGGCGAGGTGCCGTGCTTCAACGGCAGCGAGTATGAGAAGCTCACCTTCCGACCAGTTACAAATCAGCTGGTGCTTCCACACAGCTGATGCCCCAGCTCTCCAAACAAAAGTATTCTTATTTGAATAAGGATGAGCATGAGCATGAGCATAATCAAGAATATAACTGAATCAGATGGTGTTTCCAATATAACTGAATATAACAAGAATGAGCATGATCAATAGCAGATTGAAATGGCTAAACAGACAACCACCATCTTCCCGAATCAACGAAGACTACACGGCAGGGAATGAAGTGCTCATGGAACCAGCCAAAATTCACACCATCGGACATGGATGCCTCTACCGGCGGCGGATAGGACGAGAGGCCGGGTAGATTCGTCCCCGCGAAATTCCGCACAACCGTGGCTGGATCCTACGAGGTCGTCCTCATTGCCGTCGGATTCATCCACGTACATCACGGTAGGGGGAGGGCGCGAGAAGGTGAGCATCTTCTCCTCGGTGTATGTAGAATAGCCTTTTTAGATAAAGAGAAGGGAATGAGCCTACACCAATATATCACGAGCGGAACATACCGACGATGGCCGCTGCCGGAGTGGATCGGAGAAGGGGATGAGCCTACGGGCTGGGTGCTCTGCCCGTCGCGCTGATGGTCGACCACGGCGGAGATAGGGAGCCCTCTTTCTCGGCGAAGAGGCGGCGGCTTGGCGTGGAGTCCGAAGCGAGGGGTCCAAAGGCGACCAACGAGGGAAGCAAGCGCGGAGCAGCAGGACGCTGGGCTGGTTGACGAGCTCCTTTGTGGCGGCGGCGCAGGAACCCTAACGCGTGCGAGGATATCGGCGGCAGAGGCTGTGAACTCCGGATCACAAGACGGCGGGGCTGAGGCGAGATCCGGCAGGGCATATCGGTGGCGGCTTTGATGTGGGAGGGCGGCGGCGAAGGGATCGAGCGGTGGGGGCGAAGGGATGGAGCGGCGGC